GTGTTGTTTCAAAAATATGATAAGACATTAATGTGTATCTTAAAATATTCTCCAGAGAATACAGTCCATCATGTTACATTGAAAAAATTGAAAAATCGCTGAGATATAGTGTTAAATGTGGGAGAAAAGGGGGGAAAATACATTTTTTGAAATTACGTCACCTTAGTAACATAAATAATTTGTATATTAATTACTTTTAATGTACTTATCTGTACATTACAAAAATTAATTTTCTAGGTTATTTTGAAGTAGAATAATGTAATATCGTCTTCTAGTTTGGTCATGGGACAAATTCACCTCTCTTATTCCACTATACCCCACAAGTTTCAACTTTTTTTAAACTGTTCATCATGTTAGAGAATTAAATGTGCAAATTAATTAATTCAAGTAGCAATTTGTAACACTATCTGAACGTTTGAAAAACAAAGTAGCTTTGAAGTACTACAGCTCAAAACAAGACACACAAATTTCCAGTCTTTGGTTGTATCTTGTTTATTGCATGGTGCATCAATTAGGCATTACATTTTAAGTATAAATAAGTAATTGTATTATTAGCTATACATATGTTTTATATAAAAATAGAAATGTCACAAATTTCTGTAAATTTATAAATTTTAAGTGTGTTTCATTACAGTATTTCTTCCCATTAAATGAGGTGAAGTTACCCATTTTAGATTCCAGATTTAATAAGAACCCACAACCAGAAAAGAATGGAACTTGGTTTTGCTTTTCAAATAAGATAATACTGGCAGGTAATAAATATCTTGGTCAAATTTACCTTAAACATTGTACTCACAAAGACCAGCTATGTATGCTATACAAATAGGTTTTAAACAAGTCTGAAGTAATTATGATTACTCTAACACTACAGTAATATACACTCTAAAAATACGTAAAAAGTATGAAAAATGTTTAATATTTACAGAAAAATGAAAAAACATGAGAAATTATTACTTTGAAAAATATTCATTAATCTTTAATGTTTTTCTTAAATACAAAGAATGGATCAGCATAAAAATAATACTGTTCAATGAATTTACACAAATCAACATTAAATAATACCTTCCGTCTCCTACCAGCTTTTGGGATTGGCAACTTTCCTACTACTTACAACTGAAACTTCAACGGTCTCAATAGTCCATCAATGGCCACAGAAAGTATGTCTCATTTTCAAAACGCTCAACTGACAATAATAATATGCAAGCTTTTATAAAGTACAGTCAAAACTTGAACAAGAAAATATGTTTTATCTTTCAAATGAAAAGTTATTATAAACTGAATAAAGAAAGAAAATATTTGAAGTGATTTATTTTTATCTTTCAGGAGAAAACTATTCTACTTACCATCTTTTAATTTTCTTGTATATTGCAACATAGTAATGAGAAATAATTGAAATAATGAAGAAAAAATTATTTTCTGATACTGAAAAAGGGGATTGTTCTTACTCCTATTGTAGTAAATTAATTTTTCTAACATGTTTTTAGTCATAATTTATATTTAGTGTGTCCTTGATACCAAAATTTTTTTTCTGGCAAAACATCAGTCAGTGGGCTTGATTAATTCAATAAATTAAATTTTATCACCCTAAAAATCCCTATATATTAAATTACCCCAAAAATAGATACTTCATTAACAAAATTATTTAATTTCATTTTTTTAAACTAGAAATCCCTTTTATTTGTTGAAAATCAAGTGCTTTGCTAACAGACATGATTTTTTTATAACTAATTTTAAGTAAATATGTAATTAGATATACAATATACATCTACAATCTTTAAAACAATCAAGAAATATGTACAATCACACAATATTCATAGGTTAAAACTATTTCAATTTATGTAAACCATATGCTGTAAATGACAGCAATATAGTACCTAAGGAATTAGATTTATCAGGTAACTAAATCTGCACTCTTATTACATCCAAAATTCCAAACTTAGAATGATTGCAGTACTAAGATTTTTTGATGAAATAAAAAAATAAAAAAGAGAAAACAACCAAAATTATGATAAAAAAATTAATAATGAAGTCATGGCAGTATTTGAAGTGAATTCAGGAACTTTTTTTACCTAATTCGCACGTCCTTTTAATAGTACCGCATAAGATGGCTCAGGGAAACAACTGCTGGTGATGCTGTGACTCTTTGGTGGAAGAACTTAGGGATCTGAGTTGTAACCGAGGTGGATCTTCCACACTGTATAGGTAGATAGCTAAGTCGAATTCAGACACTGTTTAGAGGAGAATTGTAATGGCTGTTAGCTTGAATCGGTAGTTTTCCATGATTTCTCCAATACCCAGTGAATGTTGGAGCAGTATCTTAACAAACAGACCAAGGATCGAAGTTATCCTTGACCCTTTTTCTTCACCCTTGTGCCGTTCTTTCCACTTGCACCCACACTTACAGGCATGCTCTACCACACATTCAGATAACCAGTCGAGAGCTTAGAGCATGTTTTGGCAGGGGCGATGCCCCACTGGCAGAGATACATTGAAGGGAGAACCAGAAAACACATGAAAGTTGACTCCCAAAGTGGCTTGAGAAGAGCTCCTGCTGTAATCATCTACATGCATTCAGAACAGCTGATAGTTCTACCTACATAGAAGTAATTGTACACTAGTACATTCATAGAATAAACAGTGTTGTTAAGGAGCCAGGGCTCAAGTGAACAGTACTACTGTGCAGCTAGTCATGGATCCCAGAGAAGAGGTAAAAGGGAACACCCCTCCCCCTCAATCACAAAAAACAATGATCTACCAAAAACTTCATTAGATTTCGATCAAGTTACACTTGGCCATATGAAACATGAGCCAGTATGCAGTTCAAAATACTTCTGCTTCTCAAACATCTGCTTATCCTTAATTCTGAATATGCTGTTTGTAAGAAGCAGAGAGTGGAAGTAAGTTTCACAATTTGTGGAAGAAGTTCAATGCGCATAGAAGAACAGTAGCATTACACAACTTTGTAAGAAACATGCATTGCAATCTAGCATCTGAAATGTTCCATTGTGACATATAAATATGTTAAAATGTAATGAAAAATGTAGTAGGCCTAATCGGTAAAACAAGTAATTATAACAAAATATGTAAAAATGTGGGAAATTCGGATCAAATTCATTCAGAATTTTTTGTAAACTCAAAAAAATATAATTGAATGCAGAAATCTTATTTTCATGTAAAAATATTTTTTTTACAAGAAAATACATTCTCTACTAATTACCACAGAAATGCCCGGAAACACAAATTAAGCAATCAATTGAATATTGAACATATTTGTACCTTTTTGATAGTATAAGACACAACTGAAAATAGATAGCTTTTAATTCTTATGTATCACATACACAAATATTTATGTTTGATGTGACACCAGCTGCATGATGATAGGGAAAATGAGTAGACCAATAAATCACGTTACCACCTACATAAAAAATGTTTTATTATATTTGAAATGTGAGCATTCATACACACAATTCAGTTAAAAATGACTGAATTTATCAATTTCATCTGACAACAAGCTCAACACTGCATTTTTTTCTCATTTTGTCAATAACTACAACAAGTAAGGTGTCACATGCGAGTAAGATTTGTTTATTCAACATCCTTTTTTTAAATTTGTTTTCTCACATTCTAACCTATCTGATTTCAGAAAATTAATGAAATCAACTTGTGAAATTGAAAACCAATGAAACAACAAAGATATGCCACAAGTTCACAATTATCATAATGACTCGCAAAACAAATGCTGTCAGTCAAAAGTGTATATTCAATTCTTTGAAGACCTTTAAGCAATAATATCCTAATGTTCGTTAATGATCAATTTTATGACAAGAAACTTGACACTGCATAAAAAATTACCCATTGCTTCCCCATACATACAAAAATCATTGAAATTAAGGAGTTGGAGTTGCAATTAGATAGTACCTTAATTGACTTTTCTAATTGCAACTTCTCAGAAATCTGGTCATTTGCATTTAAGAAAGCACTAAGATGAAGCATTCTACTTAATGTTAAAAAATATTATAACTAAATTAATGAAAATATATTTACAAGCCAAAAGTAAAGGTTGAATAAGTTCACAGAGTATAATGAGCTAATATTGTTTCTGGCAACTCTATCAAATTGCAGTTGATAAATAATGGCTAAATAGTAATGAGTGCAATGCATTGTGGACTATGGCATACAGAATAATTTATGTCATGAACTCTGCTTCTCAGTTTATTGGATATTTGTAATTACAGACACAAAATTTGAAATAATTTTTCTTCCTGCACTAAGTAAAGATATTTTGCCCACCCAATAATTGTAGATGCATAATGATAATGAATTAATATATGCAATTATAATACACATTGTATTTTAAATAGTATTGGTCTTCATACTTTTTTGCTAGCCCTCATTTTTACTTCTTAATTAGTTTCCCAGGATGAAAGGATGCTTGTGAATATAACGTCTTTTTTACCAAAACACATTTCAGCATAACATATTGTTATATTAATTTCAGGTTGTGAAACAAGACCATGATGTACAAAACTGTTTCGCTGTAATGCAGCAGATATTCGCTAGGTCCTGAAATGGCAAGCGTATGTGACAGCACCCCCCACGAGCCTGCAATTTTTAATTTTCAATTTTAGAAATGGATGCATCATTTTCAGATAAGGTAATGTTTCTACAGAGGAATGGTTTGTTTCTGTTAGATTATGTTACTGATGTAATTACGGCTTCTTCCTTTCGTTCAAGCGCACACAGCTTGTAAATTCTTGGTCTGTACCATTCTTTACCAGGAAATCTGTCTTTAGTTATTGCTAAATTGGTCGAACTGATGCTGGCGCTGGTAGGCATCAAAGGAACCTGAGATTACATTTTCACAACTGCTGACATTACAGTTTCTGACCAAAGAAATTGAATTAAGCTACTTAGAAATTCTGTGGAGAACATTTGTTGCATCTTGTAAACATTTTTTGAAGCAAGTATCATTAAAATTATATTAAAATCGATGAAATCAGTGAAAAAAGCTTCAAAAATTATGGGAAAAGATAAAAAAAAGACTTATTAGGCGGAATAGATGAAAATTGCAAAAAAGTCATACAAAAATGTGTCATTTTCTTTTGTCATAACAACAAATCAATGTCTATACCAAAAGGTGTTGTTCTAAGTCCCCCTAATATATCACTTTTTTGCAAGAGAACATGTTGTGGGAAATGTCATTTAGCAAAGTCACACATTTGGCACTACTTTCATTGTGAGGAAGACCACGACAAGATGTTGGAAACGGCATTACAAGCCTTCGATGCGACATTACCCACACAGGCAAGATTATTCACTTGACTGGCCACAGAAGCCTACGAGTTCAGATTGAATAGTTTTGTAAGTTTGTAGTTATAATATAGTATCAAGTTCATGGAGTGACAGAACTTTTCCTTTTTAATTGCAACATCCATCTAACTACTTCAATAAATACATAAAGAAAATTGTTGCGATTTAAATTAAAAATCTGTAGGTCACTTCCTAAGATTTTTCCTACTAATTTTATACGTAAGAGTAGACCATGGCTATGGGCTATAAATGTTCCACTCAGGAGCCAAGTGGGAATCGTTACTTTGGTGTCCCAGATATACAAATCACTGCGTTCTGCCTACATGACAATGAAGTAAAACACGGTTATATGTGTTACTTTAAATTATAATGTAAAAATACTACACAACTATCTTTGTACATTGGTTTGGTATACAGTTTCTTTTGATCTACACTTGCACACTAATATTCACATTTTACAAAAATCTTAAAGCAGAAAAAGAATAAAACATTTTTTAAGAGGTAAAAAAAGCAATTGGCATTGTAAGTAATACTTTATTACTAATAATTTGCTAAAATAATGTACATGTATTAGTACATGAATTTAAAATGAATCATTAAGTAAACAAATTAAATACATGGGAACTAAGCACACTACCACATGAACAGTTAAATATTCTTTTCCATTAAGCTCTGTTATAAACACTGAATATTTTATCAGTACATAACAATTAAGTACACAACAAATCATAAATGCAGCATCACATGCAAACATCTCTCTCACTATCTACAGGAGACAAATAAAGGTGAAAATATTGAATTTTATTCATTATATTCCCAACAGGAATCGTTCTGCCCTTTAAATATCTAAATTTTTGGACTCCGTAAGATATTTGACCCTAATGCTTAAAAGCAAAATTATAATTTTCTTAAAAAATCATGATCTGAAAAATATATATTAATCAAATGTTCTCAAGCTAATAAAACAACTTCAACTTCAAGATTGTATTTGAAGTGGTCTCTTTTAGACAAACCTTTCACCTCTACAAACTATAAAGATACATTGCACAAACAAACAAAAAATGTTCTTATTCACCATCGCAAGCAAATAAGTGGGGCTCAATAATAAACCACGACATAGTTTTTTGCTTTATCTTTGTTTAAGTAAGGAGTTACTCTTTCATCAATCAGGCCTTTTATTACTAGAACCTTCCTAAACCTTTTTGTTGTTTTTTACCCATAACCCATAGCCCACGTTTGCGTTTTTTGTTGCCGATAAACACACAGAAATATTATTTTAGAATCTGTCAATACAGATAACAGATGTGAAATCTCAGCAATTTAGTGAAAGCTGAAGTAGTTCTTCAAAAAAATGACAGGTCTGTCTATGTTCCCATGGAAAGAACCACAGGTACAGAAAAATATTCAAAATATCTACGACCATGCCCTACCTCAAAAACAAAACAATTTGAAACAAACCAACAGAAAATAATTGTTATATATTGCTCAAAATGTGTATCATCAATTATTAAATATATAAAATTTGCATTCAATGATATTGCAATATATTTAGGGTGTTCTCTTGATCCCCCCACCTCCTACTTTGATGTTCTTCGCGTATCAGAATGGCATTCGCATGTGACTGTTAAAACGGTAAATAAATAAAAGATCAAAATATATAGCAATTACACTAGTCAGAAATACCACTGAAAACCCAATGAATACTTATCATGCATGACCATCCTGAAATCACATTGAAAATTACAAGCAGCAATAACAGCAGAAAAATCCAAGCCCTGTTGGAAACACCTACTGAGCACTTGAGTAAAGATAATCATGAATGGTATATAGAAAAAATCACAGCATCAGAAGGCAGGAATAGCAGAATACACAGAAAAATCATTTGACCAAAGGAAAAAGTAAACTTCAACTAAAAATTCAAAACAAATTATGCGGCAAAACTTTTAAAAATACAATTTTCATTATTCATAGCATAAAATGTTATCAGATGGGATGATGAATGTTAAGAGATGATTCCAATTCTGAATTTTCTTTCTTCATACTATATAAGTATATGAAGTAATATATACCGAATCTATAAATTTCTTCAAAATTAATTTATCACACTAATTTGTAATGAGCAGTCAATAACAAATTTACTGGCACTTACAAATAAGACAAACAATTGAAGGAAACAAAATTTAAATGCTTATTAGAAAAACAAAGTAAAATGAGCAATGCCTGGCAAGAGAGTTTTACCTTAGTGACAAAGGTAACCACAGATTTGACAGAACATTAAAATCTAGGCATACACATTTAAAATATGAATGAGCAAATACTCTTGGAAACGTCAGTTTAATATCCTCACAATTTAATAACAAATTCTTTCAACCACTTCTTTAGTTTTGTGGTATTTGTTTTGAACAATTTAGCACCGTTAAGACAAAATGGCAGATGTGGCAAGAGTCCTGTGTGATCAAGGCAATTTTTCTGGTACATAAAGTTGGCAAGAATTCCAACCTATGAGGCAACATAAAATTTGAATCAACTAGTCTGGAACACTGTGGTAGATATTTTTCTTCCTTCCTTTCAAATACAGTGTCAAGTTTAAACATTCATCAATTTATGAAAGTAGTACACTAACTGCCATATCATATTAATTTTCAGTAGCACTTGTGCTTTTACCAATGATCTTTATATTGAAGAATACTAAAGAGAATGTGTATTCACAATGTACATAATAACAATTTCACTGTCAACAAATATCATGAGTCCATATCACTGCCCCAAAACATTAAATGAAGATGCCAGTCAAAGGACAGATATTATAATCTCAGTCTTCCTCTTAAACAAAAGTTCTCAAAAGTCAACAATTAATACTCGTTAAACATTCTGTATAGTACATGACCTCTCTGAAGTCAAAAATATTTACTGTATCATAACCACAACAGATCACTTATATAAAATAATATTGTTACGCTCATACTATTTTTATGTTGGGAATTAACACATAACATATGCAGTAGGACGAATGCTACAATACAGCAAACAGAGAAATCAGATTGAAAAGAACTCTTAAGTACAATCAATACAGACCTCTGAAGTTTAAAATATGATCACCTACACCAAAATAGACATATATTACAATACATCCAATTACAAAAAAAGTAGAGAAATGAAACCTACTCAAATATATGCACATACCAACAATTATTAAGAAATAATACTTTTGCATCACAGACTACGTTTATGGAAAACCCTGATTATTGGCAAAAACACCAGTAATACAAGGTAGTGAATGATTTGATAAATTATGAACTGAACACTAGGCAATGTAATAAAGATGCACCACAATAATGGAAAGTGTCATATAAATATTAGTGAAAGTTTTTGGAATGTACTCATGAATATCTTTTAACAGATATAGTAGTTTGATATAATAACTACTGATTACAAGACAAATGATAAAATTAACATTCTTGCATCACAGACTGAAACCTTTCCAAAAATTTTAAACATTGTCTCAGGAAACTCAAATGACAATGCTAATTTTAGGATATATCAGGAGTTCTATTCCTGGTGAGCTAGCTTCTATACATATTGGGTTTATATTGCTAAACCGTGCAAAGCACCATAATATTCTTAAAATCTAATAGCTGCACAAGGACACTGCATTCTAGCAATACTGCAGTTTGAAATATGTAATTATTTCCTACATAAGTAACTATCGGATTCTAACCAGAAAACTAGATAAAACTACAAAACATTAAGCTCAATGGAACAGCAGTTATCTGAGATATAAAATACAGAAGTCACGAAACATGACAACTTTAAGAGAAATGAACTAAATACATACAATATAACTAATGCACTATTTATACCAATTCAGTTACGAGTCCAAGGACAGGCATTAATTGATAGAACTAAGAGACTACGACAGTGAGAGAGATAATTCTGAGAAATTAATATAATCAAGAAAGCAAACATTTCATGTAATACCAGTCTTCCATTGGTATACATTAGTTAAAACTGATGTATACCAAGAGCTTTAGATAAACCTCTCTCTATTTGTCATAATTGATCAAAAAGAACATTCCTCACTTGCTGTGTGAGAACAAAGGGGGCTCCATCACAGAGTCCATTGTAATCATCTTGATTCAAAGAAAATACCATAACTCCAGCAAAGAAATGATTGGCCACGTAAGTTGCCTGAAAAAAACAGAAGAAACTATTAAAATTAATATTTGGGTAAATAGAACAAATTTTTACATTATCAAAAATGTTCACATCTGTTTTTGCTGAATATCACTAAAGCACTAGATGAAGGCACGCTGACTTTATTATCCACTTTTTATAAGAGCAGCAAGGGTATTGTTCAGGATTCGAAAGGGTTGAAGAGGAGGATTAATATGAAGGTGGAAGATAAAGCATATGTGAGGTAAGGTATAGAGTAAATGCTACATAAAATATTACTGATGGCTAAAATGTCGATGGAATGAATGTGCGAACTTGAATTTGCAAAACAGTTTAATTTATCTTAACACTGATTGTAACTGATGCAGAGTCATAATCATTAGCAAGTCCTGAATGATACTTCCATTATTGATGTGTTTCCAGATGTACTGAGTAAATTTAGAGATCCAAGAAGTCCTCCTTTTCTATATTCATACTTTATAGATGTCTACTGGGATGGTAATTACTTCGAGATTTGAAACATTAGGATGGTCTTTTAATCTAATTACACTTTGAAGTATTCTGTGGATTTCTCATCTTTAAACATAAAATATGAGGCACCAATTAAGGTTTCTATGTTACTCATAGTTTTCCTTAATGAAACTAAGAAATAAGGTCTCAATTTCTTTTTTCTGTTTAGCAAAACTAGCATTCTGCAAAAATATAGAACAAAGTAAAGAATTGTATTTTATATTCTAACTAATATTTATACTATAAAACTGCTAGAAACTATAATGTTAATGAAAAGATTGAACCCTAATGACAATGTTTAATGCAATTTTTATTAAAAATGTTGTGCCGATTAACAGTCTATGTTGCAATTTATGAATTTTACAGGACAAGCAGATTCACTACCTCCTCTCGTGAATTTTACTAGTAGACTGATAATATCAACTGTTATTCCAAGAATATGTTTTGCTTGCTATTATATACTGTATGTATACACACAAACTACTCACAACTACATTCAATGTCTGTTAGAACAGTATCCAACCTTATATTTTTTTTTGCAAAACCCTGATGGATTTGCATCAAACACACTTGCACGAGCCAACCTTGAACCTTTGTGAGTATGCGTGAAATTTTTCCTGCCTGTTGATGGCATCTGTTGCTGGCAAGCAGCATTTGAGTTAGGTAGTGTGTAATGCTCCTGTCAGCTTTTTCATTGCACAGTGGAGAAAAAGCCAAGTTTGTGTTGAAGGTTCACAGGACATACTTGACTACACAAACAGTGACCCTGACTTCATGAACACCATAATTACTGGTGACGAGTCCTGTGTGACCACACTTAGTCATCATAGTGGAAGCATTCCACACCACCAAGGCCAAAGAAGGCTCACCATGTGCGCAGCCACATCAAAGTGAAGCTGTCAGCTTTCTTTGACTCCCGCAGTGTGGAACACCACAAGTTCACACCACAGGGTCAAACAATCACCAAAAGTATGTCCACGATCTCCTACGTCAAGCTATGCAGCAGAGGAGACCAGAGTTGTTGTCAACAGGAAATAGATGCCTTCATCACGACAGTGCTCCAGTACATTCCTTGCACTTGGTTCAGACCCCTGTGATTCAACAGGCTCCTGATATAGCTTCCTGTGATTTCTGGCTGGTTCCCAAACTCAAGAGGTCATTGAAAGGAACGTGAATTCAGGCAATGACATTATGGCTGCAACGACAGCCAAGCTTAACTCCATTTCCAAAGAATGCTTCCAACAATGGCAGCACTACTGTGAGAAGTGTGCGAGTCCCAAGGAGACTACATTGAGGATGATCGGATTTCCAACTCTCCAGGTTTGCCAGTTTTTTTGCCCAGCGAAAGGTCGGATACTACTTAACAGATCTCATTTACCATTATTCCATGAAAAACATGAATTCCAAATATTCTAACATAGACCATTATTTTGTCCAATGACTCAATTGTTCAAGGCTATTTGATTTAACTATACTTTCCAAATTTTCAAAAATTCTTACTATCAAAGAACCACATAACATGGATTTTGATTATCCAACATATAGGAGAAGCATATTGCATATAAGAGCAAGAAATATTCACTTATTCTGTATCAGAGTTCCACAAAAGTGCTTTTCTGTTGAAAAATCGCCACTTTCCTGCAGCTTAACATAACATTAACTGAACTACATAGCAATGTATGAGAAAGTAAAACTTGCAGGCCTGTGACAATTATTCTATGACAAATTATTGTTGATAATCCTAAATGCTTTTTAGTGTATTTCTGCTAATACCTTAATCATTTTACGATGTTCATGCCTCCCTCCAGTCTTTTCACTTTTATTTCTTAATAATTAGACTCCCAGGCCCGAGTCAGATCTCACAGGTGATTTGAGAAAAGAGAGTACATTTACCATTTTAGTATTGTCACTCTCCATCAATCATTCCTAAAGTTGTGATATCACTGGTTTGAACCCCCTTAAATAGTTTCAAGTAAAAAATTGGATATTGGCAACCACTAAAATTAAACCCCCTCACTACTAATTAAGAACACACATTTTCCTTTTAATGACATTCAATATTCAAGATATTGCAGCAATACTGATGTATATCGAATCATTTTTGAAACCAATGAGCACCCCAATGAGCACTCTCTCTAGTGTCTGGTTCTCTACATCAGGGGAATACCAATTTTCTGTCTTCGTCTGACAATAGCTGCAACTTAATTTGATGAATTTTGCATGTTATTGAAAGTACACAAGAGTTCACTCAATTCTTGATAGTACTGAGTGCATTATTTATTATGGTTGGAGAATTTATTTTTATTTAATGATAGGTTTGCTGATTCAAAATGTACATTTGATGAGTTTTTCAAGTAAAGTTGGCCATTCTGGAAGGATGTATCTTTCTGTCTCTCATAGGGTGTGCATCTTCCTAGCAACAGTCAGTGACATTCTGCAAGCATTCATGTGAAAATGAGTCTGTGTGAGAGATCTTTCATTATTGCATTATACATCACAGTAGTGAAATTTTCAAAATAAGATTTGTTGGTTTAACACGTGTCCAAAATATTTATTTTAAAACAAATAGCGCTTGTTGCAAAGTGCTTGAGTGCAATCGCCATATTTTTGATAGTAGGTTCTTTTTGTTTTGTGTGAATTCTATTATCGTCAATAGTTTCAATGCATAACTAATACAAAAACTCAAGTGCCCACTGGAAATCAAAGCCACAACCACATGTGCGGGAGATGAATATACCTGACGTGGACACTGACAACACTAGCCGCCACTGACTGAACATAGGTAGTACCAATGTAATACCCATGTCTAAAGGAAACTACCTGCTGCAGAAGTACTTGGATCAGCATTTACCACAGATCCAAGAGTGAGTAAAGTTGAATCTGATCCATGTCAACGTCATTACGTGTACAGCCAATTGCTCTTTCCCTCTTTTGTGAGTAAAGCATAACCTCTTGTCTCATCCTCCAACTAAACTCTCACTGTTCGCAGATGATTTGGTAGTAATAGTAAAATCTAAATAAATCTAGCTGCAGCAGAAGTTCTTGGGATCACCATTTTCTGCAGGTCCAGAAAAGGCTTCATTTGTGGAGAGTCAAAGCAGATATCAGCAAGCGTACATTACATCTCTACTCTTCATATGATGACAGCCATTCTCATTCTTGCTACATGGATCAGAATTAACACTAGAACGTCCAAGGGCCTGCAGCATTTCATTTTGTTATATAGTTTTCATTTTTGTCTTATGGAGAACAATCATTTACAAGTCTTTCAACACTTTTACATGTGTTTCATTCAGTGTAAGAATTTTTTTAAAATTTTTCCAACTTGAATTTTCTTTTACATTTACGTACTTCATCTATGGGTTTATGACACCAAGAAGATAGTTCATGTTGGGGCTACCCCACCTTCTTGGACTTTTTACAAATTGCCTTTGCTTCTTGTTGCGAGATATCCTGCGAGTTTCTACAGTTCTGATTATTTCAATTATAGCCTGACTTTGATTTCTGAAAAATGCAATACAAATTTTATGTTCCACATTGTTTTTATTTCTCCATCCAATGAAGTGTCAACTCATCCAAGCTGTGATAAATTGTATTTATTACATAAGGAGTTTCTAAAATACATATTGCAGAGGTCCTGCAGAGATTCTTCGACCCTTCCAATATATTTCCGAGGTGTCAGAAGGATCTGAAGAACATGGCAATGACAGTCCAATACCTAGCAACACACACAGATTAGTGACACTAGTCAGCAAATTAAAATACACATGTACAAGAAGTGTGGCTGAAGAGATAATCCATCATTGCTGAACCATGCACCTCTATCATGGTCCTTCACAATAATATTTTCCTTTCTCATAAGCTGTAGAATAAAATAGTTGCATTATTCATGGTTTCACACTACTTGAGATTTGTAATTTGCTTTGTTGCACATAGCATGTTGGAACTTGAAACAGCAATAATGAAATACAAAAATGTAGTCCTTGGCGAATGTGTGCAATGAGATAAACCTTTGGAATTTTAATTAAATGATGTCAGCAATTAAATAATGTACTTTTTTAAATATGAGAGATGACAGAACATTACATTTGCGGAACATATTGACAATAAATATGACAATAAATATTTTGATAATGCAATGTCTGTTATCATGCCTCTTCGTAAATGAAAACTGAGCACTAGAGGTCTTCCATGTATAGGACATTTCAAATATTGAGTAATATAAAATATTCACAATCTTATTGCTCTGAAAATAGGTTTAGATTTATTCAGTCAAAAAAACAGTAAAAACTGTATGTGATGTACGGGGGAAAAGACTATGCGCAAGTTTTCTTGAGTTCCAGAATCCCTTCCCGTCCCACTATAAATATTTGAAAGATGAGTAAAAGTTGAACATAAATAAATAACAATAAATTTTAAAGATTGCAAGATTAGCAATATTTAAAAAAACAGTCATTTTCGTTTCTGAGTTATAGAAAACTTATTTGAATATGAATATGAAATGAACGTATATGAATTGCAAAACAAGGGTCCATCTCAGCATTTACTCAATGAATCAGGGAAACTGGACAAAAATCTGATCGAGATGTTAAGGCTATGCTATTGGAATATGCTACTCTAGTGAAACATTTTTCTCAAACATTCATAAAACACAATTAACATCTAAAAACACATGTGCTTCAGAATGAACCGACACTTATTTACACCGTGCATTAAACAAATCCGATAATACATACCTTAGATGCTATACTTCTCATATCATCATATGACACCCACTCTTGACCCAAATATGCATATGGAACTTGACTATCCATATCATACTCATGTGCAGCTCCTTCTTTGGTAAGAAACCAACACACCTCTGGATAGGTCACAAAACCATTTGAACCAAGTTTGCCAATATCAGAGACTGGAGCTGACCAACCATGATTGTCTGCATTTACTAATCTGCAAAGTAAAGACAATTATCAAAATGTGATCTGATTGGCAACATATTAGCATTTATTCCAATAGGCATGAATTCTACAATGAACTCTTACATGAAATATCAGAGTTTCTCACACCGTGCAATCAACCAAGAAGAACCAAAATTAGTTTTCTGTTTGTACATTCATCTCTTTATTCAAAGCTACTGGATACTAGATATTTCAAAATACAGGTTTCCAGGTCTTCAATTGAAATTTTGATTTTCTATGCAATTTTACTGCCCCATTCTAATTCATAAGCATTATTTGGAATAGAAGATAAAAAATTAACAACTTGAACAAATTTTACTCCTGTTTAGGTTAAATCTACAAATCTAAGAACAGAGAAAGTTATTCTTTGAACAATCAAAGGTCACCTCTCACGGAAGAAATACCCAAAAAATATTGCTAGGCACATGAAAAGTAGCATAAAATTCTGAATCCAAGCTGTGGGTATTTTGAAATTTTTTATTAAATTAATGATATAAACTGTAAAATTAATGTGGCATTGTGTTTACTTTATCCAAAGTAAGTGTGTGTGTTTTTGTGGGATTTACAAATTGAATGCTTGCCCAGGAATCATTGGGGGAACTTGTATACCAAGTCAACCATTTTGGTCAGTTTTATTTTGTCCCATATTTTGTATGATTTTTATTTTTTCTATTGTTAGTTTTTGATTCATTTAGTTAATGTTTCTCATTATATTGTGATTCATTAATTTCTTGCAAATTTAAAAATAATATTACACTATAATGTATTATATTACTGATATCTGGTTTATGCAGTTACATTACAAATAAATATTTAAATTATTATATTTATTATTTTAAATTATTATTAATTATTATATCAAAAAAATATTTTAAGAAGAAACACAAATGCTCATTTTTTTCAAATATCAATACATCCTTGGTGCCGAGAAAGACAAGTGGGACAAAAACACTCCACGAATAACTTTTTATAAAAACATTTTTTTAATGATTCAATAAGGAAATAGTATGTATAAGGGTGGATCAAATGAAAATGAAACACCCAGAATTGTGAATCATCATTATGAAGTTGAGAATCATTTTGAAGGGGTTGATAGTGTCATAGGATCAAAGAACCACTAAATGGAGTCATCACAGCTCTTTTGTGTCCTCATGTAGATGACACACATCTTTTGAGCTTCATGACAAGTGATGGATGAATCGTGGTTCTATCATTTCCAAATGGAAAGCAAACTACAAAGCCAGAAATAGAAATGAAGTCTCCCCTCCACCCACGGAAATGTACTTGGTATCAAGTTGTGCAAAAGTGGTGGTGACCTTTTTTATTTCAAGCGACAAGGACTCCTGTTGATTGATTTCCACCCACCTAGTGCAACCATCAATGCTGCTCATAACCACAGGCCCCAAAGTGTCTGTGCAACACAATTAGGTCAAAAAGGCCCACATTCCTGCATTTTAGGAGAAACATCTACATGATAATACAAGTCAATGTAAGACTGAAAACCCAGACCATATTGGCATAGTTTGGGTGGACAATTTTAGCATATTTTTAGCATTGTTCCATTTTTATTTCATCTGGACTTACAAGAAAATATAATGTAAATACGTAAATAAAGATTGCATTTCAAAAATCTGAAGAAAAAGACACAAAAGGGATTACTAATTATTCTTTTAAAAATTTATTTGGTATTTTCATGTAGCATTAGTTAAGTTCTTATATTTCTTTACTGAACCTTTTCATTACTTGTATTCAAGGTACTGAATTATTTTCATGTGTTTATAATAAAATTGCAATTGAAAGCATAAGCTTCCACATCCAGAGTTAGTTGGCTGTTTGTAAGACACCACACCCTAGGCACGGATGCCAATGAGTCGGCAGCCATGCTACGACCTTCCTTTCGAAAAGCATTTTGCCCTGAGGAAGGTCACAGCATGATGAAATGTTGATATCTTTACCTAGGATCCCGGACAGGCAAGACGGTAGTGGTAATATATTACTGAATACAGATCATTAAATCATTTGAAATGATAGAACACGATTCATCCATCCACTTTATGAAGCTCAAAAGATGTGTGTCATCTACATGAGGACACAAAGAGCTGTGATGTACTCCATTTAGTGGATTCTTTGATCCTATGACACTATCAACCCCTTCAAAATGTTCTCAACTTCATAATTGATGATTCACAATTCTGGGTGTTCATTTCATTTTTGATCCACCCTTATACATTTACTATTTCCTTATTGGAATCATTAAAAAAATGTTTTTATAAAAATTATTCGTGGAGTGTTTTTGTCCCACTTGTCTTTTCTCGGCACCAAGTGATGTATTGAGATTTGAAAAAATGAGCATTTGTGTTTCTTCTAAAATATTTTTTGATATATAATTAATAATTAATTTAAAATAATAAATATAATAATTTAAATAATTTATTTGTTAATGTAACTGCAGAACCAGATAGTCAGAATATAATTACATTAATAGCTGTAATATTATTTTTAAATTTGCAAGAAATTAATGAATCACAAATATAATTGAGAAACATTAAACTAAATGAATCAAAAACATACAATAGAAAAATAAAAAATACATACAAAATATGGGAACAAATGAAACTGACCAAATGGTTGACTTGTGTATACAAGTTCCCCAATGATTCCGCGGCAAGCATTTCAATTTTGTAAATCCCACAAAAACACACACACTTACTTTGGATAAAGTAAACACCATGCACATTAATTTTACAGTTGTATTATCATTATTAATAAAAAAATTTCAAAATACCCACAGCTTGATTCAGAATTTTATGCTTACTTTTCAGTGCCTAGCAATATTTTTGGGTATTTCTTCCGTGAGAGGTAGACCGTTTGATTGTTCAAAGAATAACCTTTCCTCGGTTCTTAGATTTGTTAGATTAAACCTAAACAGAGAGTAAAAAATGTTGTTTCAAGTTGTTAATTTTTTATCTTCTATTCCAAATAATGCTTATGAAGTTAGAATGGCGCAGTAAAATTGCATAGAAAATCAAAATTTCAATGAAGACCTTGGAAAACCTGTATTTTGAAATATCTGGATCCAGTAGCTTTGAAATTAAGAAGAGATGATCTACAAACAGAAAACTAATTTTTGGTTGTCTTCTTGCGTTGATGCACGGTGTTGTGAGAAAACTCTGATATTTCATGTAAGAGTTCATTGTTAGAATTCATGGCCTATTCGGAATAATGCTAATATGTTGCCAATCAGCATCAATTTTGATTAATTGTCTTATTACTTTGGCCAGATTAGTAAATTGGCAGACAATCATGGTTGCGTCAGCCTCCAGTCTCTATATTGCAAACTTGGTTCAAATGGTTTGTACCTATCCAGAGGTGTGTTGTTCTTACCAAAGAAGATCTGGCACATGAGTATGATATGCGATAGTCAAGTTCCATATGCATATTGGGTCAAGAGTGGTTCATATGATGATATGAGAAGTATTAGCATCTAAGGTATGTATTATCGGATTTTGTTTTAATGCACCGGTGTAATAAGGTGTCGCTTCTGAAGCACATGGGTTTTTAGATGTTATGATGTTTATGAATGTTTGAGAAAAATGTTTCACTAGAGTAGCATATTCAATAGCATAGCCCTTAACATCTCGATCAGATTTTTGTCCAGTTTCCCTGATTTCATTGAGTAAATGCTGAGATTGACCCTTGTTTTGCAATCTCATATACGTTCATTCATATTCATATTCAAATAAGTTTTCTAAACTCAGAAACGGAAAAATGACTGTTTTTTTAAAATATTTGCAATCTGCAATCTTTAAAATTTGTTATTTATTTTATTTCAACTTTTACTCATCTTTCAAATATTTAATAGTGGACGGCGAAGCGGATCTGGAACTCAAAGAAAACTTTGCGCATAGTCTTTTCCCCCGTACATCACATACAGTTTTTACGTTTTTTTGACTGAATAAATCTAAACTATTTTCAGAGCAAAAGATTGTGAATATTTATATTACTCAATATGTGAAATGTCCTATACATGTAAGACCTCTAGGTTGCTCAGTTTCATTTACGAAGAGCTGATAACAGACATTGCAGTATCAAAAGTATTTATTGTCATATTTATTGTCAATATGGTCCGCCAAATGTAATGTTCTGTCATCTCTTCATATTTAAAAAAGTACATTATTAATTGCTGACATCATTTAATTAAAATTCAAAGGTTTATCTCGATTGCACCACATTCGCCAAGGACTACATTTTGTATTCATTATTGCGTTTCAAGTTCAACGATGCTATGTGCAACAAAGGCAGAATTACAAATCTCAAAGTAGTGTGAAACCATGAATATGCAACTATTTTATTCTACAAGCTTATGAGAAAGGAAATATTATGTGAAGGACCATGATAAGGGTGCATGGTCAGCAATTGATGGATTATCTCTTCAGCCACACTTCTTGTACATGTGTATTGTTAGATTTGCCCTGACTACGTGTCACCTTAAAATCTGTGTGTGTTGCTAGTATTGGACTGTCATTGCCATGTTCTTCAGATTCTTCTGACACCTCGGAAATATATTGGAAGGGTCGAAGATCTCTGCAGGACCTCTGCAAATATGATATTTTAGAAACTCCTTATGTAATGTAAATACATGAGTCACAGCTTGGATGAGTTTACACTTCATTGGATTGGAGGAAATAAAAACATGTGCGAACATAAAAATTTTATTGCATTTTTCAGAAATCAAAAGTCAGGCGTATAATTGAAATAATCAGAACTGTAGAAAAACTCGCAGAGATCTCGCAACAAGAAGCAAAGGCAATTGAAAAAGTCCAAGAAGGTGGGGTAGCCCCAACATGAACTGATCTTCTTAGGTGTCATAAACCTATAGATGAAGTACGTAAATGTAAAGAAAATTCAAGTTTGGAAAAAAATTTAAAAAAATTCTTACACTGAATGGAAACACATGTTAAAAGGGTTGAAAGACTGTAAATGATTGTCTCCATAAGACAAAAATTGAAAAACTATATAACAAAATTGAAATGCTGAAAGCCCTTTGGACGTTCTAGTGTTAAAATTCTGATCCACTGTAGTAGCAAGAATGCAGAATGCTGTCATCATATGAAGAGTAGAGATGTAATGTACGCTTGCTGATATCTGCTTTGACTCCTCCACAAATTGAAAGCCTTTTCTGCGGACCTGCAGAAAATGGTATCAGAACTTCTGCTGCAGCTAGATTTATTAGATTTTTACTATTACTACCAAATCATTCTGCGAGAGCAGGTGAGAGTTTTAGGTGGAGGGATGAGACGAAGAGTATGCTGTGACTCAGCAAGGAGGGGAGAAGAGCAATGGCTGTACACGTGAATGCGTTGACATGATCAGATTTTTCAAACTTTACTGCACTTCTTTTGGATCTGTGAAAATGCGATCGCAAGTACTCCTGGGCAGCAGTTAGTTTCCTTTAGACATGGGGGGTTTTATTACTTTGTCTACTATGTTCAGTCCCAGTGGGCGGCTTAGTGTTTTGTCAGTGTCCACGTCAGTAATTCATCTCCCGCAACATTGGTATGTGCTTTGATTTCCAGTGGGCACTGAGTTTTTTGTATTAGTTATGCATGAAAACTATTTGACGATAATAGGAATTCACACAAAACAAAAAGAACTACTATCAAAAATAGGCGATTGACTCAAGCACTTGCAACAAGCGCTATTTGTTGTAAAATAAATATTTGGACACGTGTTAAACCAAACAAAAATCTTATTTGAAAATTTCACCTACTGTGAATGTATATGGCAATAATGAAAGAATCTCTCACAAGACTCATTTTCACATGAATGCTTACAGAATGTCACTGGACTGTTGCTAGGAAAGAAAGATGCACACCCTATGAGAGACAGAAGATACATCTTCCAGAATGGCCAACTTTACTTGAAAAACTCAGTCAAGTACATTTTGAATCAGCAAACCATCATTAAAATAAAAAAAATAAATTCTCCACCATAATAAATAATGCACTCAGTACTATCAAGAAGGAGTGAAACTCTTGTGCTACTGTCAATAACATGCAAAATTCATCAAATTAAGTGCACAAGCTAATTGTCAGACGAAGACAGGAAAATTGGTTATTTCCCCTATGTAGAGAACAGACACTAAGAGAGTGCTCATTGGGATGTGCCTCTATTGTTTCAAAAATTGATTCGATATACATCAGTATTGCTGCAATAATCTTTGAATATTGAATGTCATTAAAAGGAAAATGTGTGTTCTTAATTAGTAGTGAGGGTTTAATTTTAGTGGTGCCAATATCCAATTTTTTACTTTGAAACTATTTGAAAGGGGGTTCAAACCAGTGCAGTATCACAACTTTAGGATATGATTGATGGAGAGTGACAATACTAAATGGTAAATGTACTCTCTTTCGCAAATCACCTTGTGAGATCTGACTCGGGCCTATGGGTTCTAATTATAAGAAATAAAAATGAAAAGACTGGAGAGGCATGAACATCGTAAAATGATTAAGGATTAGCAGAAATACCACTAAAAAGCATTTTAGGGATTAATCAACAATAATTTGTCATAGAATAATTGTCCAACAGGGCCTCAAGTTTTACTTTCTCATACATTGCTATGTAGTTCGTTAATGTTAATGTTAAGCTGCCAGGAAAGTTTGGCGATTTTTCCAACAGAAAAGCACTTTGTGAACTTCTGATACAGAATAAGTGAAATTTCTTGCTCTTATATTGCAATATGCTCTCCTATATGTTGGATAATCAAAATCCATGTATGTGGTTCTTTGATAGTAAGAATTTTTTGAAAATTTGGAAAGTATAGTTAAATCAAGTTAGCCTTGAACAATGAGTCATGGACAAAATAATGTCTATGTTAGAATATTTGGAATTCATGTTTTTAATGGAAAATGGAAATGCAGATCTGTTAAGTAGTACCGACCTTTCGCTGGGCCCAAAAAAAACCACCGGAGAGTTGGAAATCCGATCATCCCTCAAGGTAGTCTCCTTGGACTCGCACACTTCTCACAGTAGTGCTGCCATTGTTGAAGCATTCTTGCGAACAGGAGTTAAGCTTGCGCTGTCGTTGCAGCCATAATGTCATTGCCTGAATTCACGTTCCTTTCAATGACCTCTTTGAGTTTGGAACCAGCCAGAAATCACAGGAAGCTATATCAGAGCCTTGTTGAATCACAGGGGTCTGACCAGTGCAGAATGTACTGGAGCCACTGTCGTGATGAAGGCATCTATTTTCCTGTTGACAACAACCTCTGGTCGTTCCTCTGCTGCATAGCTTGACGTAGGAGATCGAATGGACATACTGGGTGGTGATTGTTTGACCCTTGTGTGAACTTTGGGTAGCTTCCACACTGCGGAGTCAAAGAAAGCTGACAGCTTCACTTTTGATGTGCTGCGCACATGTGAGCTTCTTTGGCTGCGTGGTGTGGAATGCTCCACTATGATACTAAGTGTGCGGTCACACAGGGACTCGTCACAGTAATTATGGTTGTTCATGAAGTCAGGGTTCACTGTTTGTTAGTCAAGTATGTCCTCGTGAACCTTCAACACAAACTTGCTTTTTCTTCCACTGTGCATGGAAAAAGCTGACAGGAGCATTAACACACTACCTAACTCAAATGCTGCTTGCCAGCAACAGATAGCCATCAACAGGCAGGAAAAAATTTCACGCATACTCACAAAGGTTCAGGTTGGCTCGTGGCAAGTGTGTTTGATGCAAATCCATCCAGGGTTTTGCCAAAAAAAAATATAAGGTTTGGATACTGTTCTAACAGACATTGAATGTAGTTGTGAGTTGGTGGTATTACATACAGTATATAATAGCAAGCAAAACATATTCTTGGAATAACAGTTGATATTATTCAGTCTACTAGATAAAATTCACGAAGAGGAGGTAGTGGAATCTTGCTTGTCTGTATAAAAATTCATAAATGCAACATTAGACTGTTTAATCGGCACAACATTTTTAATAAAAATTGACATTGTCATAGGGTTCCAATCTTTTCATTAACATTATAGTTTCTAGCAGTTTATATAGTATAAATAGTAGTTAGAGAATATAAAATACAATTCTTTACTTTGTTCTATATTTTGCAGAATGCTAGTTTTGCTAAACAGAAAAAAGAAATTGAGACCTTATTTTCTTAGTTTCATTAACGGGAAACTATGAGTTAACATAGAACCTTAAATTGGTGCCTCATATTTTTATGTTTTAAGATGGAGAAATCCACAGAATACTTTCAAAGTTAATTAGATTAAAAGACCATCCCTAATGTTTCAAATCTCGAGTAATACCATCCCAGTGAGACATCTATAAAGTATGAATATAGAAAAGGAGACTTCTGGATCTCTAAATTACTCATGTACATCCTGGAAACACATCAATAATGAAGTATCATTCAGACTGCTAATGATTATGACTTCTGCATCAGTGTACAATCAGTGTTAAAGCATAAATTAAACTGTTTTTGCAAATTCAAGTTCGCACATTCATCCATCGACATTTTAGCCTCAGTAATATTTTAATGCTAGGCATTTACTCCTATACCTTACCTCACATATGCTTTATCTTTCCACCTTCATATTAATCCTCCTTCTTCAACCCTTTCGAAATCTGAACAATACCCTTGCTGCTCTTATAAAAAGTGGATAATAAAGTCAGCGTGCTTCACTAGGCTTTAGAAAATGATAATTCAGCAAAAACAGATGTTGAACATTTGATATGTAAACAAAATTTGTTCTATTTACCCAAATATTACTTTTTAATAGTTTCTTCTGTTTTTGCAGGCAACTTACGTGGCCAATCATTTCTTTGCTGGAGTTATGCGTATTTTCTTTGAATCAAGATGATTACAATGGACTCTGGTGATGGAGCCCCCTTTGTTCTCACACAGCAAGTGAGGAATGATCTTTTTGATCATTATGACAAATAGAAGAGGTTTATCTAAAGCTCTTGGTTTTTATACATCAGTTTTAAACTAATGTCTACCAATGGAAGACTGTATTACATGAAATGTTTGCTTTCTTGTTATTATTAATTTCTTTCAGAATTATCTCCTCACTGTCGTAGTCTCTTAGTTCTAATCAATAATGCCTGTCCTTGGACTCGTAACTGAATTGGTATAAATAGTGCATTAGTTATATGCATGTATTTAGTTCATTTCTCTTAAAGTGTCAGTTTCGTGACGTTCTGTATTTTATATCTCAGATAACCTGCTGTTCCATGAGCTTAATGTTTTGTAGTTTTATCTAGTTTTCTGGTTAGAAGTCCGATAGTTACTTATGTAGGGAAATAATTACATATTCAAACTGCGTATTGCTAGATGCAGTGTCCTTTGTGCAGCTATTAGATTTTTAAGAATATTATCGGGCGTTATGCACGGTTTAGCCAATATAACCTAATTGTTAGAAGCTAGCTGCCACCAGAATAGAACTCCTGATATATCTAAAATTCAGCATTGTCATTGAGTTTCCTGAGACAATGTTTAAAAATTTTTGGAAAGGTTTCAGTCATGTGATGCAAAGAATGTTAATTTTATCATTTGTCTGTAAGGTCAGTAGTTATTATATCAAACTACTATATCTGTTAAAAGATTTCATGAGTACATTCCAAAAAACTTTCACTAGAATATTTATTATGACACTTTCCATTATTGTGGTGCATCTTTATTACATTGCCTAGTGTTCCAGTCATAATTTTATCCAAATCATTCCACTACCTTGTATTACTGGTGTTTTTGCCAATAATCAGGGTTTTCCATAAACGTAGTCTGTGATGCAAAAGTATTATTTCTTAATGAATTTGTTGGTATGTTGCGATATATTTGAGTAGTTTCATTCTCTACTTTTTTGTAATTGGAGTATTGTAATATATGTCTATTTTGTGTAGCGTGATCATATTTTAAACTTCAAGAGGTCTGTATTTGATTGTACTTTAAGAGTTCTTTTCAATCTGATTTCTCTGTTTGCGTATCGTGTAGCATTCGTCTACTGCATATGTTATGTGTTAATTCCCAACATAAAGAATAGTATGAGCGTAACAATATTTATTTTATATAAGTGGATCTGTTGTGGTATTGATACAGTGAATATTTTTGACTTCAGAAGAGTCATGTACTAATACAGAATGTTTTAACGAGTATTAATTGTGACTTTTGAAACTTTTGGTTTTAGAGAAGACTGAGATTATAATATCGTCTTGACTGGCATCTTCATTTAATGTTTTGGGGCATGATATGGACTCATGATATTTGTGACCGAGTGAAATTGTTATTATGTACATTTGTGAATACACATTCTCTTTAGTATTCTTCAAGTATAAAGATCATTGTAAAGCAACAATGCTACTGAAAATTAATATTGTATGCAGTTATGTACTACTTTATAAATTGATGAATGTTTTTAAACTTGACACTGGTATTTGAAAGGAAGAAGAAGAAATATCTACCACAGTGTCCAGACTAGTTGATTCAATTGTTATGTTGCCTCATAGTTGCGAATTCTTGCCAACTTTATGCTACGAAAAATTTGCCTTTTGATTCACACGAGACTCTTCCACATCTGCCATTTTGGGTTCTTAACCGGTGCTTAAAGTTGTTCAAAAAACAAATACCACAAAACTAAAGAAGTGGTTGAAAGAATTTGTTATTAAAATTGTATGAGGATATTAAACTGACGTTTCCAAAGAGTATTTGCTCAATTCATATTTTAAAATGTGTTATGCTCTCAGATTTTAAGTGTTTCTTCAAATCTGTGAGTTACCTTTTGTCACTAAGTAAAACCTCTTGCCAGGCAGGTGCTCATTTACTTGTTTTTCGGAATAAGCATTTAAATTTTGGTTTCCTTCAATTGTTTGTCTTATTTGTAAGTGCCAGTAAATTGTTATTGACTGCTCATTACAAATTTAGTGTGATAAATGAATTTTGGAAGAAATTTTATAGATTCGGTATATATTACTTCATATACTTATATAGTAGTGAGGAAAGAAAATTCAGAATTGAATCATCTTCTTAACATTCATCATCCCATCTGATAACATTTGTATTGCTATGAATAATGAAAATTGTATTTTTAAAAGTTTTGCCGCATAATTTGTTTTGGAATTTTTTAGTTGAAGTTTACTTTTTCTTTGGTCAAATGATTTCTGTGTGTTTCTGCTATTCCTGCCTCTGATGCGTTGTGCATTTTTATTCTATATTACCCATTCGATGATTATCTTTACTCAAGTGCTTCAGTTAGGTGTTCCAACCAGGCAGGATTTTTCTGCGTTATTTGCTGCTTGTAATTTTTCAATGTGATTTCAGGATGTCATGCGATGATAAGTATCATTGGGTTTTCAGTGGTATTCTGACCTAGTGTTAATGCTATATATTTTGTATCTTTATTTACGTTACCGTTTTTACGAGTCACATGCCGAATGCCATTCTGATACGCGAAGAACATCAAAAGTAGGAGGTGGGGCGATCAAGAGAACACCCTAAAATATTGCAATATCATTGAATGCAAATTTTATATATTTAATATGCATGCATACACATTTTGAGCAATAGTAAACAATTATTTCTGTTGGTTTGTCTTCAAATTGTTTTGTTTTGAGGTAGGGCGCATGGTCGTAGTATTTGAATTATTTTCTGTAACCTGTGGTTCCTTTCCATGGGAACATAGACAGACCTGTTCATTTTTTTGAAGAACTACTTCAGCTTTCCTAAATTGATGAGATTTCACAATCTGTTATCTGCTATTGACAGATTTCTAAAATAATATTTCTGTGTGCGTTATCGGCAACAAAAACGCAAACGTGGGCTATGGGTTATGGGTAAAAAACAACAAAAAGTTTAGTGGAAGGTTCTGTTAGATAATGAAAAGCCTGATTGATGAAAGAGTAACCCTTACTTAAACAAAGATAAAGCCAAAAAAACTATTGTCGGTTTATTATTGAGCCCCCACTTTATTCCTCGGATGGTGAATCAAGAACATTTTTTGTTTGTTTGTCATGTATCTTTATAGTTTGTAGAGGTGAAAGCGTTTGTCTAAAAAGAGACCACTTCAAATACAATCTTGAAGTGAAGTTGGTTTATTAGCTTGAGAACATTTGATTAATATATATTTTTCAGATCATGATTTTTAAGAAAGATTATAATTTTGCTGTTAATCATTAGGGTCAAATATTCTTACGGAGTCCAAAAATTTTAGATATTAAAGGCAGAACGATTCCTGTTGCGGAATATAATGAATAAAATTCAATATTTTCACCTTTATTTGTCTTCCTGTAGATGTGAGAGAGATGTTTGCATGTGATGCTGCATTTATGATTTGTTGTGTACTTAATTGTTATGTACTGATAAAATATTCAGTGTTTATAACAGAGCTTAATGAAAAGAATATTTAAACTTTCAGGTGTGTAGTGGTGCTTAGGCCCATGTATTTAATTTGTTACTTAAATGGATTCATTTTAAATTCATGTACTAAAATACATGTACATATTTTAGCAAATTATTAGTAATAAAGTATTACTTACATGCCAATTCTTTTTTACCTCGGTTAAAAAAATGTTTTTTTATTTTTCTTTTTTTTTTTTGGCTGGTAAAAAAAGGGGATTTTTTTTTGTAAAATTGGTGAAAAATATTTGTGCAAGATGTAGATCAAAAGAAGACTGTATTACCAAACCAATGTACAAGATAGTTGTGTAGTATTTTTACATTATAATTAAAGTAACACATATAACCGTGTTTTACTTCATTGTCATGTAGGCAGAACGCAAGTGATTTGTATATCTGGGACACCAAAGTAATGATTCCCACTGGCTCCTGGTTGGAACATTTATAGCCCATTAGCCATGTCTTACTCTTACGTATGAAAATTAGTAGAAACAATCTTAGGAAGTGACCTACATATTTTTAATAATCGCCAAAAATTTTCTTTATGTATTTATTTGGAAAGTAGTTAGATGGATGTTGCAAATTAAAAAGGAAAAAGTTCTGTCACTCCAGAACTTGATTACTAATATTTAACTACAAAACTTCAAAACATGGCCAATCTGAAACTCGTAGGCTTCTGTGGCCAGTCAAGTGAATAATCTGTGCCTGTGTGGGGTAATTGTCGCATCGAAGGCTTTATGCCTGTTGCCAACATCTTGCGTGTCTTCCTCACAATGAAAGTAGTGAGCCAAATGTGTGACTTTGCTTAAATACAGTCCACACATGTTCTCTTGCGCAAAAAAGATTATTAGGGGGACTTAGAACAACACCTTTTGGTATAGACATTGATTGTTGTTATGACAAAGAAATGACACATTTTGGTAGACTTTTTTGCAATTTTCATCTATTCCGCTGAATAATTCTTTTTTTTTATCTTTTCCCATTAATTTTTGAAGCTTTTTTCACTGATTTCATCGATGTTTAATATAATTTAATGATACTTGCTTCAAAAAAATGTTTACAAGATGCAACCAAATGTTCTCCACAGAATTTCTAAGTAGCTAAATTCAATTCTTTGGTCAGAAAACTGTTAATGTCAGCCAGTTTGAAAATGTTAATCTCAGACGTTCCTTTTGATGCTACCAGCGCCAGCAATCAGTTCGACCAATTTAGCAATAACTAAAGACAGATATTCCTGGTAAAGAATGGTACAGACCAAGAATTTACAAGGCTGTGCTGCGCTTGAACGAAAGGAAGAAGCCGTAATTACATCAGTAACAAATCTAACAGAAACAAACCGATTCCTCTGTAGAACGATTACCTTATCTGTAAATGATGGCATCCATTTTCTGAAATTAAATTAAAAATTGCAGGCTCGTGGGGGTGCTGTCCACATACGCTTGCCATTCAGGACCTAGCGAATATCTGGCTGCATTAACAGCGAAAAAACAGTTTGTACATCATGGTCTTGTTTCACAACCTGAAATTAATATAACAATATGTTATGCTGAATGTGTTTTGGTAAAAAAGACGTTATATTCACAAGCATCTTTCATCCTGGGAAACTAATTAAGAATTAAAAAATGAGGGCTAGCAAAAAGCTATGAAGACCAATTACTATTTAAAATGAACAATGTGTATTATAATTCATATATTTAAATTCATTATCATTATCATCTACAATTATTGGGTGGGGCAAAATATCTTTACTTAAGTGCAGGAAGAAAAAATTATTTTCAAAATGTGTCTGTAATTACAAAATATCCAATAAACTGAGAAGCCAGAGTTCATGACATAAATTATTCTGTATTGCCATTAGTCCACAATGCAATTACACTCATTACTATGCCATTATTTATCAGACGCCAATTTTGATAGAGTGCCCAGAAACAATTATTAGCGCTCATTATACTTCTGTGAACTTATTCAAACCTTTACTTTTGGCTTGTAAATATTATTTCCATTAATTTATTATAATATTTTTAACATTAAGTAGAATGCTTCATCTTAGTGCTTCTTAAATGCAAATGACCAGATTTCTTGAGAAGGTTGCAATTAGAAAAAGTCAATTAACGGTACTATCTAATTGCAACTCCCAACTCCTTAATTTCAAATGTTATTTGTATGGTATGGGGAAGCAATGGCCGTAATTTTTATGCAGAGTGTCAGTTTCTTGTCATAAAATTGATCATTAACGAAACATTAGCGATATTATTGCTTAAATGTTCTTCAAAGAATTGAATATACCTTTTGACTGACAGCATTTGTTTTTGCGAAGTCATTATGATAATTGTGAACTTGTGCATATCTTTGTTGTTTCATTGGTTTTCAATTTCACAAGTGATTTCATTAATTTTCTGAAATCAGATTAGGTTAGAGATGTGAGGGAAAACAAATTTAAAAAAGGATGTTGAATTTAAAAACAATCTTACTCGCATATGTGACACCTTTACTTGTTGTAGTTATGACAAAATGAGAAAAAAATGCGCAGGAGTGTTGAAGCTTGTTGTCAGATGAAATGGATATAATTCAGTCATTTTAACTGAATTGTGTGATGAATGCTCACATTTCAAATTATTAATAAAAACATTTTTTACTGTTAGGTGGTAACGTCGATTTATTGGTGCTACTTCATTTTCCCAGTCATCATGGCAGCTCGGTTGTCCACATCAACATAAATATTTGTGAATGTGATACATAGGAATTAAAAGCTATCTATTTTCAGTTGTGTCTTATTACTATCAAAACGCGCTACAAATATGTTCAATATTCAATTTGATGGCTTAATTTGTTGTTTCCGGCATTTCTGTGGTTCAATTAGTAGGAGAATGTATTTTCTTGTCTAAAAAAAAAATATTTTTTTTTTACATGGAAATTAAAGATTTTCTGCATGTTTTCAATTTATATTTTTTTGAGTTTACAAAAAAAATCTGAATTTGGAATTTGATCCGAAATTTCCCACATTTTTACATATTTTCTGTTGATTAATTACTTGTTTTTACCGATTAGGGGCCTACTACATATTTTTCATTACATTTTACTTATTTATATGTCCACAATGGAACATTTCAGATTGCTTAAGGATTTTGCCAATGCCCATGTTTCTTTACAAAGGTTGTGTTAAATGCTTTTTTACTGTTCTTCTAGTGCGGCATTTGAAAACTTCTTCCAAAACAAATTTGTTTGGAAACTTACTTTCCACTCTCTGCTTCTTACCAAACAGGGCATATTCAAGAATTAAGGGGGATAAGCAGGAAATGTTTGGAGAAGGCAGGAAAGTATTTAAAACTTTGCAATTACTTGGCCATGTTTTTTCATATGGGCCAAGTGTTAAACTGTGAATCGGAAAAAATCTAAATTGAAGTTTTGGTAGATCATTGTTTTTTGTGATTGGAGGGGAGCGGGTGTTTTTTCCCCCTTTTTACCTCTTTCTTCTGGGAATCCCATGAATAGCTTTGGCCCCCCCAGTAGTTTTAACTGTTTTCCCCCACTTTTTTTTGGAAAAAAAAAAAAAGGGCCCTTTTTTTCTTTTTTTTTTTTTTTTTGGGCCCTTCATCTCTTTTTTTTT